CGTCGGTTGACGTAGTTCGGAATCAGTCGCAACTGTTCACGTGCATTCACTCTTTGTCTACTTCTCCTCAGATGTTTTGTGATTTGAATTGTTTTACACTCGTTTTCGTTCCACAAACTCAATTTTTCTTCTCGAACCATATTTTCTATGCGTAGTCGTTTCTACTACAATTGATGCTGTGATTGCGTTTAGTAATCTGTAATTTGTCTTCATAACTTTATCTGGTTGTTCTGAATTGATCTAGCAACGTGAAACGATTCATAGTATATATGTTTGATTCTATGTTGCTTGTGATTGACTGAAATTAAACATTTTTAAATAGCACTATGTATATATATTATATATCATTTATGACCATTATAGATTTTAAAACCATAACAGGTATACTAGTAAGTAAAATTGTACAATCTAGTCAAACACTGAGAGAAGTTGAACTTAATTGCATAAAAAAATATCACATGATATGCAATTTTTAGTCAAAATGCTAACTCGATAGAATTTTGTAAACTCTATATTTTCAAAAGATCAATATTTTTTATAAGCATCCTAATATGTTATTATGATTCTTTTATTTATTTGCTTACTTAGATATTTCTAAGCTTTCAATTCTAGTAGCGGTTCAATAATCAAGCCGTATTACAACAAAATATAAATTGTTTAAGTTAATAATATTTATATATTAGATAATACTATTGTAAATTAAGGCCCCTTTTGATCATGATGAATATAAATTAGTAAAGAAATAAAATAATATGTCATCCTTGATAGCCATAGAGACAGATAATCACAAAAACATCTACATTTTATATCTGGGAAATTCTAAGAGTGTTCCAGAATTTCTAGAAGCATAATACTCAAGATTAGTTAACAATCAATAAGCATATAGACATAGGCTCATTATATGACAAGACCAGAGGTCGATGAACATAAACAGTTAGGGTGAATACACAAAAGAATATAAGTAACAGTCAGAAGTGATACCATCAGAACGAATGGATATGACGTTTGTGGAATAACTAAGAAGCTTGATTTTACACAAAGTAGGTTCTGAAAATGTCCATAATAATAAAAAGTTCCACAATTAAATCATCTAACTCTAAGAACACAATACCAACCAAAGCACCTATCTGAGCTGCGAATTCCCATTAGTTCAAACGTCTGAACTATACAGTCTAGCTTACACAACATGACATATGACTTATATATGTATGCTGACGTAGAACATAGATTAATAAAAAAACGTAAGGAGAGAATAAGTCCATCCTACTTAACATTACATGGAGTTATAATATTGGAATCAATGGTTTAAGTTACCCTTGACTAACCGAAGACAAAGAATATTTATAAAGATTAAGAGAGTCAGTGAATGAAATTAACATCTTATAGCTATGTTATAAGATAGAAACAGTGTTCTTTTAGTTGTCTCCCTATTTATGCTAATCAATAATTAGCACATAAAAACAAAAAATGAGTGACTTTGACTAGAATTACTCAAAAAATTAATTACGTAATTCAGCACAATAAAATCGAAAAGTTCTGAAACAGTATATCTGTTTTTCTTTTGAGTACAAAATGCTTAAGTGTGATAAAAAAGGTATTTTGTAGGACTAATGCTAACACAAAATGGAATGCTAAATTATGTCAGAAAGTTTTCAATATTTAAAAATGTTAAATATTCTCTTTTACGACAAATCGCAAACAAATAACGATCTTAAATAAGAAAAATTAGTTCAGTGAAGAGTTCTCTTCTTGGCGAATTCATTTTCAAAGCTATACAATCATATATATATATATATATATATATATATATATATATATATATATATATATATATATATATACTTATGTTACAGGATGTTTTAATGGGTGTATTCCGTTTACTAAAAAAAGATCTAGAATTCAGAGGTCTATATTAAACTAAGAATAATAACTATAGGAGCAAAGTTTACAAATCACTAAACACTCTATTATTATATCATTATTAATTAAAAATTCAAGTCAAAATATGGATATGAACACTGAGATATAGGTATATCCATATAATGAGTCCTAAATAGAATAAAACACATATATCTTTGATTCTACTATTATAGCTACAATTAATTTATTATATAGTACTCTATTATTAATAAATGCTTCACTAATCAACTAAGAAACTAATAATTATTGAAAAAAAACAATACATACTATGTAAATACACATTTCATTGTAAATACCAGGGTATCATCATCCAAAGGTTATTCATTTTATATTATATTAAACATAGTTAATATTAACGTATATTTTCTTATTACTTAAGTTAAAGTGTCTATTCATAAACTTTGACAAAGAGTTCTTTTCTTTAAAAGAAGAAGAAAAAGATTAACAACATATGACAATAAACATGAAATCTACTACTTTTTTGGTTTTCTCAACGACAACAATAAAAATAATAAAAAATAATTGATGAATAAATTTAATATATAAAAATTATATTTCATGTTTAAGTATAATTGTTTATTACTTTTAATAATAAGAACAAGATTATTTTATAAAAGTGAATATTAACCAATTAGATTAGGTTAATTTCATTCATTCATTCACAAATATTGATCATATTTCATGTTGTTGTCATGTGATTTACACAATAAGATGATAATGAATAATAATGGTGATGATGTTGATGATGATGGATGAATGGTCGAGACAAAATTCAAAGATTTAAAGATCCACTTTTATGAAAAAGAAATTTAAAACATGTATAAGTATATTTATAATTGAGTATTTAAAAGAGAAAAAAATAAACAATAAACATATAACAGAGTAAGGTATTCTCTCTTTTATAAGAATGTATTTAAATTATGTACACTTTATATGACAATAAAAATATATTGATAATGATATTAGAATTTGAAGATCCTTAAAATTATTCATAAATGATTGACATTTGAATAAATGAATAATCAAGATTTAAAGTGGGTTCTATTATATTAAATATTGAAGAGAATCTATATAAAAGTAATGATTATTGTACTATCATATGTTTACGTATTTTAGTGAGTTTATAATTACTAAAGAGATAATCAAGAATTTATGATAAAAAAATCTAATGTTCATTCAAAAATCTTCATGAAGTTAAATCAAAATATAGTGAGACTATAATTTATGGACGATCTTTGAGCGGTGCTACACTGAACTTGAGAGTATCCACCTAACAACCAGTACCAAATGAGGGTTATAAATATGTGTGAAGAATTAAGATTTACAGTTGATGAATAAGGGTAGAAATTAAATTAAGGGTTTTCATCACGAACTGATATAAGCTATAATGTCAAAACTCTATTGAGCTAAATGTATGAATGAATTTCGCGCCAAAATTCAAGACCTGTTATCTCATACTTGATTAGTTCGTCCATAAATTATAGTCTTGCTCAAGATATTTCTTAAAAATTAAGGGATCCCATCGAATATTTACTAAAGTTATATAAAATTGAACACAAAATACTATCACTTATCGAGAGATGCAAATGATTGAATGATTTGAAATACGGAACTATTCAATACTTTTAAATATCAAAGACGTTCGTTCATATAAGAAATCGAATGAAAAGTGATCTACTATTAGAAAGTTTATCTGAAAGTGGAGACTATATTGTTTTGGTTGTTAAAGTAAACAGACTAAGAGGGTTTTATAAAAAATATAAAATATCATGAACATCTTGAGAACTGTTCAGGAAACTCTGACAAACACTAATCAGCGTACAGACCAACGGTCAATACTTTTAGACGATATTATTGTATTTTTTTCATTATCTGCTTTGTTTGAAGCGATTACAAGTTCACCTAGTCTGCGAACGGAACAAAGACTCTGAGACCAATGATCGATAGGCTAGATATTCTAATGCATTCCGGCCCCGCTAACTAGAGAGAAAAGTCAAAATTTTGGAACGGGGAAGTATATTCCGTAAGTATCCGGAAGCACGAGCAATCACAACAGACACAAATCAAACGTATATGTACAGCATAAAACTATCCTTGGGAAGCGTTACAAAATAGCATACTAAAATATACAACGGGCCAATCGCGCTAAAGCTTCTCCCAAGTGGGAAATACGCTTTTGGCGCGAAAATAAAGAAATTAAAATTTTCCAAATAAAATTACAAAATTAAGGTATTTACCAAGTGCGTTCTGGGGATCTAACATCCCCAACATTATCCAACCCGCATCAGATGTCATCACCAGTAAACCTTTCATATTAATGCATATAGATAACCTCATCGACTTGATTCACTTTCGTTGTTCTCTGAGAATTTAATCTTAGGTAACACTTAGAAATATAAACTATTAGAAATTAATCAGCTTGTTTGCGGGTAATATTGGTCTGTGAAAGCGAAATGATTCTGCTCTCAATCGTGATTATATATTTCTGAGCCATAAACTAAAACAAAACAACTGTTCAGATAAAGTTCATAAGGTAAACGATCATTAAATTGACTAATCCCTGAATATCTCTCATCATTTAAATAGTTCAATGTTACTAATCTTCAAATTACACAACAGTCACTATAATACCATATTCATTTACCAATGATCATTAAATAAAACCACTTATTTATAGGCTACATTATCAGTTTTTTAAAAAAAAAGAATTTTATTTCACAGTCACAATAAATAATCTATGATAAAAAGCAAACAATAATATACACAATTTAAATTTAAAACTAATTGGTCATTTAAAACAAATAAATATAATAATTCAATTACCAATAACTTATTGTCTGTTGTTATATATATATATATATATATATAATAAAAAGTTAATTCATTTCATCTAATATTGTTCTGTTTAGTAATAAATATTAGTTACTACGTTAATTTTCTATTTATATAAATAAAATAAATGATCATTAATTGATTATTTTTTACAACAATAGTTATTATTAACTCATTCATCATTTAACTTATCTTTTAATGAACCAAGGAATAAGAGTAATAATTCGTTTTATTTTTGTTTTGTTTTTCGTACAAAGAAAAGGAGATGAAAAAACAAGAAAAAGTTGTTGTAATTAAAATAAAACTAGAAATAGGAAATAGTTGAACGAATAAATTTGTTTTTGTATTGTTTTTTAAATGGCTTCATTATTTAGTTCTACTTTAGTTACAAATTCATGATTATTATATTACATTAGCTGAAATTAGACGTTTGTGAATGAGATAGATTTAAAAAAAAATAAATGAGATTATCAAATTTTATAGCTTAATGAATAGCTGTTAGGTAGGACGATAATAGTTGGTTAGTTTTTTTCCGGTTTTTAATGGCTGTCCAACCAAAATCAGTTCGTGATGTAAATTAGACTATATTATGTATTATAATAATGGATCGGATACTAAGAGTTTATAGTCAGTTAATATAAAGTGATCCAGTTGTTGGTCATATTAAATAGAGAAACTGACTATACCTCTTTGAGTATACAAATTAAGGTTTTAGGAGTTGTTCTTAATAGCTTCAGTTATGCAGAGAAAAAATAATCTTGTTTCTTTGGGTAGATTAATCAGGACATGATATAAGACAGAAAAAGCTTCATTTATTCTGGTGTAGGGTTGACTATCTACAAAGTGAGAAAGGATGACGATTTTAATAGATTTAATAACTCCTTTTCCGAAGCCTTCTGAGCTCGGGAAATGTAGTTAGCTCCTCAGACCCAGTTAAATTGGTGGTATATGCGCAGAGAACAGCCTATCGTCGGTATCATATCTTTAATTCGTTAAGCAAGTACTGGCTTAGTTGCTGAGATAACATGCAATTATTCTCAGGACACAATAGTTTGATTGGCTGAGATAATTAATTAAATTTATTTTGTAACCATGATGTGTAAAACTATAGAAATCGATATATTGACCAGTTCATATATTCTTCCTAAATATTTTCCTATTTATGAACCCATCTCCCCTTCTGAAAAGTAGGATATCCAGAAAAGCTATACTATTTTCATGTTACACTTTATATATGTATTTACGAACAGTATGAACGTTAATCAAATAGTTTGACAGCTCTTACACATTAACACTATTGTCGCACAACTATTGTGACTACATATATTTGTGTAAAAATTTCATTATTAGATGCGAAATTAGTGTTCATCGTGCATTTGAATTTTGGCATACTTATCATTCTTTCTAATAACTGTTTTCAAATACAATCGACAGTTTCTATTTGTAGGATATTCCTAAATAAGGATGCTGAACCTAAACAAAACAGTTTTATTTGTTACGTTCACATGTTTTGTTCATGTCTACAAACTTAAATACATACTTTAAAATGTATTAAACAGTTTTGGTAAGATAATTCTAATAGTTTTACCAAACATTTTGCTGCTGGGTGCTACGATGAGTTTTCAAGACCAGCCGTAATGTTATCTCTAGTTTGTGAACTTTTGATAAGCAATAAAGTCAAGAAACATCAGTTCCATAAGGTTTAAATAAATGGTATGTACCCGTTAAAATATATTGTTGCCACTTTGATGATTTTGTTATCATAATTAGTTATTTTTCTGACTTTTCCATTAAAAATCTTAAAATACACCTAATTTTGCACATTAAGTTTAGTCAATCAGTAAACTATAAATGTCAGAAATAAAGTTGGGACTAGTCAGTTTTAATAAAGATGATAACGTAATAAAAATCAGAAAAAATTTCCTTGTCTTGATTTCTGATTAAAACAGATAGTAACTGGCTTTCTGAAAAAATAAATTTCAAGCTAAAGAGATATAAGGCGGGAGATTATATATATTATAATGTAACCAGTGACTTATTGAGTTACAATCATCATATCAAATGATTCATAATAATCAAAAACAAGAAAGAGGCTAATGTGATTTCATGCTACGAAAAAATCGCGTAATTATGTCACGAGATCTGAAGATTGTTCATTTTAACCACCTGTAGAGTTGTAAGTGGATACTGTTGATGAGTTACGCCAAAAACTAAGATAATAAAAAAAGCTGGATATTTATGTTTATAACTACCATCATCATGGTAGGTAGACTATCTGATCACACTTTGTTGAGTGCTCATGTTAAAAATTATTCACCAATCTAATCTTATCAAAAGAAAAGTATGAACCTAGTAACATCAAATCACTATTTCTTATGTTTATAAACTTCTTGAAATATCAAAAATAGTTGATAAATGTATACCAGAATAGGTTTTTTGAAAATAACACAAATTTTTTGGATAATTACAATATTAAAATCAAGCCTAGACAAGTGAATTCATCACCATTCAAGCAGTTTAGTATGTATGACCAGTTCATCTTCTGTTCAATAAAACAATATCACTTTTGAAGTTAATCACAGTCGACCACATTAAGATACATAAAATCTGTTGAACTGGTTTAAGTTATTGGAATGTATTCCAAAAATATTCACAAGTAGGTTTCATGAACATGTAAAGAATACCTAATATGGATGTTTCTATATTTAATCTTAAACTCAGGAATATGAGTGACGACATAAGGAAAAATATTTTTTATGTAATGGTTATTCTTTAAATAGTCTTTAGGCAGATAAATGATCTATATTCAGTACGAAGATTAATAAAGCTGAAACAAAAGGATGAACTTAAAGACAATTGAGTATCTAGTGTCATTATACTACAAGTTATAACTCCATATAACACTAATGTACTAGAAAACTATACATCATTGAAAACAAACAACAATACGATCTTAATAAATAATCAATAAATTTACTTTATCCATTTCCATGTATCCATTATTTGATTCCTCTCGGGTACATGCATAACCGAAATCGCATAATTTTGCAACAAATCCTTCTGTAAGAACAACATTTCTTGCCGCAACATCTCGATGAAACAACTGAAAATGATACATAAAAAATTTATTTTGCATATTGTAAAAATTGTCCAAACACGTTGGTAATAATCAAAATTTCCGAGATATTGGGTCTAACAAGTTGTTGTTTGACACACTTTTGTTTATTCGGAGCATGAAATGGTGAGAAATCACCACCAAATGATGAAAAAACATAGTTTCCATAGAAATCTAGCGCATCATGTACAGTGTAACTAAGCTGACATACGTCAATGACTTTATATAATAATTAATTTAAAAAAAAAGAAACTAATTAATTAATGTTTACATTGTTGTATTATGCAATCCTGATAGGTTTTTTTCTATTTTAACTGACGTGTCCGATTTAACATTCAATAAAATGTACCGTAAAAATTAACTGAGGGGAATATAAGAAAATACAGTAGGGCTCGACATTTATAACCAACTTCTACTCAAGTTATATATTGATGGTTAGATTCATATAAAAAATCTTAACCAATTAAAGCGAATGAGAATAAGAGACAACAAATTAATCTTATTGACACAACACAGATGTAATTAATAATGTCAAATCCAAACACTAAAAAACTTGATATCACGAAATTAACATGACACGTAATTTCCTCTTAAGCATCATCAAAAAACGATAACTGATTAGTTCTTTTTAACAAGTTTAATTTCTTTCTTACGGAACAGAATTAGCATTCGCAACAACAGGTATTATAATCCTACTATTGAAAAATTTAAAAAATATTTGTTTTTACCATTCTCAATGTCAAAGAAGACAATATAGCTAAATGACAAAAATAAAACCTGGTTGATGAATCATTTATAGATAACTGTCGTGCGTAATAACCGTACACTTTAGTTTATATGCCCATTAGAATTATGTACATGATGTATTTGATGAATAAGAAAATTAAGTTAACAATTATTCCATGTTATTTTTACTATTTTTCAATCGAACATGATGTTAACAATCTCATCATAATATATGAATATATGTAACTCAGTAACATGGATCAGATGTAGCGGTTCGGCTTCGAGTTACAAATTTTATGATACTGTGACCAACTTCCTAAATCAAAATAAGCTAAGATGAATTCGATCTGATGATAGTCAGTCAGCTAAAACGTAGGACCAGGCACATATCTGCATCTGTCCAAATTGCCACACCTCATTAACACAACAGGATGAACACCGAAGTCATAGAAACAGTTACTTCAGTAGTAGTAATATACAAAAGATTGTGTATAAGGACATGATATCGGGAGAAAAAATTAGTTCGTAGGAAAAAAGATATGAAGCAATTTTAATCTCACGGTTTAAGGGAAAACAAAAATTGTATACACCTACGCCATTGTGATCGGTTCTGATCCAAGTCACACAGTCTCCAAACATTGATTACGATAATCGCGCAGACCTCAACCAAGTATCTTGCATCTACCAACATGCCCCAGACCAGAAGTTAGTGACTTCAAGGACTGATGCCACGTTTTGGTTTAACCGCCCCTAACTTTTTTCCACCCATCCTCAACACTAGTCAGCATTGAGCGTCGTGGTAATCGGTGTTCAGGCATACGCAACATGTAGCCCAACTATCTCAGTCGATGAAAATTCACAACCTCATCAATTGATTTACCACCACTCCCTTATACCTTGTGTCTAACCTCACTATTATTTATCCGGTGGTCTCAGCAGATGAAAGCAATATTTTTAAGACATCTGTGGTCAAATACTAGTAACTTACGAGTATCCTGTGCCCTTAATGACCACGTTTCTCAGCCGTAAAGTGGAACAGAAGGAACAGCCGTGCAATATACTCGTCCTTTTATTGATAGACGGATATCTCGCCTTCGCCACAGGTGATGTAAGTTGGCAAAAGCCAAACGAGCTTTCTAAGTTCGTGCAGAGATTTCATCAGACACCAACATATTAGTGCTGATAAAACTTTCAACATAAGTGAAGTTTGTCGACGCGTTCGACTACTTCACTCCCTATCCTTAGTCCAGGTGTTGACGCAGGCCAGTCAGTCCTGAAGCAACAACTTTCATTTAGAGGGGGAGAAACGCATGTCAAAAATTCTGACAATGTTACTCAGTGCTACCAAAAGACTGCATTTTATCAACGTCTTCACCTAACAGTATTATGTCATCTGTGTATTCTAAGTCGATAAAAAGACTTCCTGGTAGGAGATCAATGCCTGGAAATTCAGTCGACGAGTAAGTTATTTTCATCAGTATGTCTATGACAAATATGAACAAAAATGGAGATAGTGGACAGCCTTGACGGACAACACTTGATGTTGCAAAATCAGATGACAGTTCGCCATAAGCTCTCACTCGATTAGTAGTGTTCGAGTAAAGAGCCTTCACAAAGTTTATGTACTTCTGAGGTACACCTTTCAATGACACTGCCACAAGACCTCTCGGTCTACCTTGTCAAATGTTGCTTTTAAATCAAGAATGATCACCATTGTCGGACGCCGATAAGCATGTCTGTGTTCCAGAACCTGACGAATGGTGAATCTGTAGTCGAAACAGCCACGACCAGGTCTAAAGCCAGCCTGATTTTCTCAAATTTGCAGTTTGAGTCTTAGTTAGGCGCCCTATAATTATTGAGGCTAGTATTTTAGATGCTATATTAGTCAGGATGATTTTCATCCCTCCTTATATATTGGGACAATCAGTGATTGCAATCAGTCAGATGGATTACGTCCAGTTCTTAGATTTTAGCTAAAATATTAGTCAACCTAATCGCTAAAATTGGACCACGACCATTCAAAACCTCTGGAGCCAATCCATCTGGACTAGTTGCTCTTCCTCGTTTCGGATTAGCCATAGGCTTTTCAACTTCAGCCAGAGTCGGGGGACCTACTTCGATGTTCCATTCAGGCTGTTTGGGAATGGTGGGTATTTCTAGTGTAGCTGAAGGCCAGCTGAACTGCTCCCTAAAGTGTTCCGCTCATCGTTCTAAACGTCTGTGCTGAGAGCAGTTAGGAGTATCGTCTCATTTACATTCGACTTCTTAATTTCAGTTTCTCTTAGTGGTCTTGAGTGCTGTTAGAGGTATGAGAGCAGTTATTACTTCCCAGTTGCCCATACCGTGGAAGCGTTCTTCTAGAGATACCCTGAAAATGAAATCGGGTTCGGGGTGGTCTTAGTGATCCGAGAGCGTGACCGCAGTGCTCAAGTGACAGCTGCATAAGGTCGGTCACAGACGACTTTTCTGTGAGTAATTTCTGTGTTATCTCCTTACTTATTGAGACCTTACCGCTAGAGACGGATATCCTTAGGATAAGGCGAGGTGTGCATTTTTAGGGTCGACCTTTTCTAACCCCACCTTTCCTTGTAGAAGAGAGCGTCGCTGTTATGCTGGTTGTCTGAAGGAAACACATTATTACCGTCATAGCTCTGTACAATCAGTAGTACGACTTCGTCCTCGGACCTTGGGTTTGCTGCTTTTAGTCTTACCGCTCTTCAACCGACTTGTCTGGCACGGTAGGACATTGAGGAACAATTATTTCAGCCAGTATAGCTCGATTTGCTAATTACGATATGCAAGCCCGACCACCACGTTAAGGCAGCAGCAATGGTTGGGTGATGATACAGTGGTTAAAAGTTAAGTACCTTGATTGCATAAAGAACGGGCTCTCATTACTTACTATGTGAAAACTTCACAGGATAAGGAAGTATCATTCAGGATGTAAACATCCTGAATGATGTACAATTGAAAACCATTGATTTGAATCAGGTCTAGATGCCGTTCAACCTCGTTTGTTTCGACACACGAGTAGTGTCGATAGGCTTCTCACAAAGATTGTGGCCGAAGCTATCGAATAAATTGAAATTTCGATATATTCATTTACGATTAACACTTAATCTCTTGAAAATTTTTCATGCTGAATAACCAAATAAGCTTTATGTTTGAAATTACTAGAATACGTTTTAGTAATACAACACTGATAGTGGTTTTTTATTTTCGTTCCCTTTTACCTAATTAATAATTGAATTCGATCGTCATAGACAAACAGTGAAAATCTAAATATCAGAATAAATTAAATTATTTTAAGTCGCTTATTTATGTGAGAAGCTGTATCAATTAGCCCACAGTCCAATCAAAGGAGTAGCAAGTTGGATTTCAAGATCTGATCTTTAAAATGAATGAATAGTTTTACAATCATTAATTAGAAAATCCAACTAATAACAAGTATGACATTACGGAATAGTATTATTAACTAGTAGTTTTAATAAATTGACTGTTTGAACAGCAGGAAAACATAAAGAAATTAAATTTACTAACTTTTACACGAAAAATATTACAAAATTGTTGCTGTTCAAATATTTTTTCCCATACCTTCATGATTTCTACTCCATACATTTTGTTCATGTGTTCCTCATAAAAATGTTCTCTTAACACTCAGTAATAATTATGGATAAACTATTACTGTTATTGATATGAAAAAGATGAATAACAACTGGAAAGAGTTGGAAAGGATTGCCCAGGACAGCGTTGGATGGCAAGTGCTGGTGGGCGGTCTAAGCTCCTCGAAGAGGAGTAACAGGCGTAAGTAAGTAAGTATTACAGTTATTACATTTTAATATTATTTCGTCAAAAGAAACAACTTATGACCTGTTCAGTGTTAACATTCAAATTAAAATGGAAAAAAAAACTGATTGAAATATCTAATTTTTTTTCTTGAATATATAGTCATGACAGAAAGTATAAAACAATCGGTAATTAAATTATTATTAGTATTAAAAGAAACATTAATTGACAGTCAATGTCATTCAAACTTACAGATAATGTTTCAAAATACAATAAAGCATCGGCAATATCCAATGCAAATTTTAATAATTCTACTCTTTGTTGTCTAATTGTAATATCGGATAAAATTTCTTTGAAATCATTTGAGTTTTTTAAAATTACATATGATGAATTAATTGTTCGTTCATCTGCCCAAAAATTGAATCCAGGTGGTCGACGACTTCGTAGAAAATCTCGTAAATTACCATGAATAGCTAATTCGAGAAGAATGTATGGATGATCTGAAGATAAATAAAATAGCGTTTAATATTAAATAGTTTCATAAACAAATTATAATTAATAAACATTAATAATATTGTTAGTATTATCATTCTCTTCATACAACAATAGCTTGATATTGCTGTTTACAATGACATCTCCATAATGAATGCTGATATATCAAGGTAAATAAAAATATTGCGCAGTTTGTAAAACAAAATCTTGATCACATCTAACAGACAATACTATACGGTAAGTTTGATCGTAGTTTTAAAAACAAGTAATCCAAAGCGGTTGATATACATATTGGGTTCATAAAAAGCTTTGACAACAGTTTAACTTATAAATCTTTAAGTAAGATAAAATTTTAATTGAGGTCAAATAATTCCCCAAGAAATATAATAAAATGCTATAACTTTTTATTGGTTCCGATATTTACAGAAAACTGGTCATATCCTATGGATACATGTATACTGAGGATGTTTCGAGTGAACAATCTGAGTAAATTCGTGATTAAGATAGTGATGATAAATGAAAAAAAATCATTTGACCCAATGTTTTATATATTTAAGGACTTATTTTTCAGTTACTGCCTTTCATTTTCTAATTACGATATTTAATTCATTTCAAGTTGAAACATTTCGTAATATGACTGGACATCGCACATAGATACTGATAAAGAAAACTAATGCAACGTCTTAAAAAATATTTAAGATTACAAACTGGTACAAGTGATTTACTGGGTTTAAAGAAAATACAATGATTGGACATAAAAGAAAATTTGGAGGAGTGATGAGAATTGAAAACTGATGACTAAGAATTACAGATGCACTGTTGTATTGTGTTAATTTACAAATACGGCAGAGTCGTTACCATCGCTAAATTATTAGTATTCAAGATAAGAAGTTATAAAACACATTAACGAGGATAACCAAGAGTACAAAAACATGAGGTTAATTTTTTGGTAATAAAGTGAGTATTCAAGAGAAAATTAATTAACGAATTTTATTCGATTATTTACAGAATTCAAGATGTACCGATACATACAACATACACAAAAACACGTAAGCAAAAATCATCAGTAAGCGACTTACGCTCATAAGGCACAAAGAATCAAACAGATATACTATGAATCGTTTCACGTTGCTAGATCAATTCAGAACAACCAGATAAAGTTATGAAGACAAATTACAGATTACTAAACGCAATCACAGCATCAATTGTAGTAGAAACGACTACGCATAGAAAATATGGTTCGAGAAGAAAAATTGAGTTTGTGGAACGAAAACGAGTGTAAAACAATTCAAATCACAAAACATCTGAGGAGAAGTAGACAAAGAGTGAATGCACGTGAACAGTTGCGACTGATTCCGAACTACGTCAACCGACGTCTCTAATCACTGATTACAATAACCGTGATTGAGTGAGTGAGTGTCTCAATCAAGTAGTCTACACTTATCAATATGGTTCGTTGTAACACTCATTGACTTTGTTTTACCATTCGTAGTTCTCCTCCTCCAATATACACCTTCTATACCAGAAAACATCGTGAGTCGAGTTAGGGTACAGAGTGGTTGGTTGTGCACAGATATGAGATGTTTGATTCATCTCGGTTGATGAACATTCACTACCTGGTCAGACGATATGGCATGTTTTCTGGTATTTTGTGTCGAACCTCACAATTTTTCACTAGGTTATTCCAATAAAGATGAGGAATACTTTGATGGAGTTATGATCGAATAATGCTATCTTCGAATATGCTCTGTTTTTGAGAATCACACTGTCATCCTGTGAAGTAGAACTGAGTGAACTGGTAATCAGTGAACTCATCTTTTAATTGGGAGATGGAAATATCGTCTACACTATAGATAATAACTCATGTGGTCAAAGGCCAACCGATGTTTCCGAAGTCGTGTTAAGACTCCTTGAGACACAAATAGTTGAGAGCTGACAAGATATTTGCAGTAGATGGAGTGGTCGATGAATCCCACTAATTCACTGCCTATAATGAGTTGAGTTGAGTTGAACCAATGCTGAAGTAACATTTTATGTTTATAGGAAGAGGACGAATCTCATACATCACTGCGATTTCATTCATGTCAATCTTTGTCAGAGAGCTAACCCAATAGAACTATGTCATTTGCATATTAAAAGTCAGTGAGTGAAACTCTTGGCAAGTGATCAATTGGTGGAAAATCAGACGGCGAAAGCGATATCTGTTAGAATTGTCTACGATAACGTTATATAATAAAAGGGAAAAGTAGAATGAAAGATTTTTTCTGTCATCTATTTTGTTTTGTCATCCTCCAAAACATGTTTAGTAAAGCATTAATTAGGATAGAGGAAGTTATACATCGAACATACTTCTTCTGAATAGGGTATATATATATATATATAAACTGAAAAAAATACGTTTTATACACGTTGGTAATTTGATATTTGCTTTACGTATTCTTTCTATAAACTATAACAACGACGACAGGAAAGAATAATATGAGGGAGGTACAATGTCAAGATATGAATTTAATAAAACTATTTTATAAAGTGAAAAAACCTAGTCAACAGACTAAGAAACACACATCCAGGGTACGTATATGTATCACGTGTGTTTAGACAATGATACCATAAGTAAACTTTTAGACATGTTAACACTTGATAGATAACATGGTCTGCTTTGGGTGAAGGTCACCGCAAATATATATATATATATATATATATATATATATATATATATATATATATATATATATATATATATATATATAATATCTTGAATGCATACAATGTAATTGTTCACCGTGATTATTATCTCGTCAATGTGTATTGCCGTACATAGCAGAAATTGTGGTAATCTATAACACCAATTGGATTTCGATGATGACTAAGTAGGGTATTTTTTATTACAAAAAGAGCTATGGCTTTTGTTTAAACAATAAAACAGGTTAATTCCGTTAAAGCTTATAACACGACCAGACGTAGTGGGTTAGCTTCGTTAATTAATCACCTTGATAACCGTTATTATACAAATCCCAATGGTGTTTGGATTCAGAAGGCAGTAAGTAGTGGCAACTACAGTTTATTAGCGGATAGCACAGATAACAAAGTTACAACAACATCAAGCGAATTTGGAGCAGAAGCGAATACGTGTGTTTGGGAGAATACAGAGGTGAATTTATAGTCAAATCGAATCAAGGCACAGCTAAGCAAGCCAAAGGCTACTGATAGGATTCGAACACATATATACATGGGAAAGAGAATGACTCATCAAGCAGTATTTAAGCCATGAACGTTTGAGCTACAAAGATAATGCGTAGGCTCTCACATGTGATCAAACGTACATGTTCGTACAGATATGATAGTGATCATAATAATACAAAGACATATGCGAATCGTTACTGTTTGAAAAAGACTGTCTGTTAAATAAGTTAGTAAAAGGGCTCAACAAAATTAACCGTAATCAAAATCGGTTGTAGAAGAATTGCCATATGAGTGTTATGAACGGAGATGTCAATACGTTTTGTGAAAGTATTTGAAAATAATCCATCAAGTTATAATGAATTCACTTTCGTTCTTTTTATTTGCTGGTCTGTTAAATAAGTTATGACTTGAGAATCTTATGCTACTTTTTGTATCTGGTCGTCGCTGATTGTTATGTCGGAATCGCTGATCACTTATGCTCGGAAGGAAGAGACCTCCACAATTCCCACGACGCGAAGTAAGAACACAAGACTGGTATAAGCGAAGTTTTATTAGCCCAAAACACTATGATGATGACGACGACCTTAGCCGAAAATACACTCATTTATATATTGATTGTACACCCATTTTGATTAAGAATTAGAATGAAATCGCATACATGAAAAATACTCAGTTATCACACATCACATACTGAGCATAGTTCATGTCAATGGAATACAAGAATATCGTATATTATACAGAATAAAATATCATACGAGAAAAGAAAAGAAATACTACATTGAGTAATAATTACATTGAATCAAAACCGAAGTAATTTTGAATAAAACTTATAATGAGTGAATCGATCGAAAATTGACTTTCTTTCCATCATATCAAAGGGCTTGACAAAAACTAACCATAATCGAGATTAATCTCAGGAGTGTTGCTATACTGACATAATTTTACATGAAGATATTATTTATGGTCATATGACCAGGAACACTAACCACAGTAACCACCTACACTATCTAGTAGGAATACGAGAGTGTACGTATTTCGGTCTATTTTTGTCGATAATGCAGCGAATTCTATCACATCGTCAGAAGTATATCTGAAACTTAACTATTGTAGTGAATATATGAAGACCATGATATCCATGCTGTGTAAGTGTACACAATTCAAATTCATTGTTCTAGTCTCAATTCAATTTCTTTTAGTGTTATATTGAAAAGAGGTTGGTTTCAATATTTACTTAGCAAATTTAGTTTATCAGAAAGGTTGTACAATCGGTCCATGTCTAATTGATTGATGATTACTAAAGTCTATGCTAATACAAAACACTGGAATTCCGTGCTAGTTGCTTATACTGAAGAGATAAGTGATAACACTTCGGAGATGAGGTTAATTACAACTCATCGTTTTCAACAAGAAAGATGAAATTGAAGATTACCAGTGTTAAATTGATTTACATTATCCAATGGAAATGATATGAGATATTATGATAAGGAAAACTACTCTTTGACAAATTTTAACTTCTCTGTACTACATAGAGAGATTACTGATCAGTATTCAGATAAAAAATCCATACTCTTCACGAACTGTTTTACTACATAGAATACAAACGTAATATTAAGTGATATTTTTAACAACAGGCAAGAGGATATACCGAGTTCCAATGTTCTCAGTAATCAGTAACATCTTTATTCGTCAGTTCAAACTGATACACTTATCAAATGTTAATTTTATGAGATAGAATTTCTTTCAATCTAGTAGTATGTTCAAGGTATCCGATCATAAAGCATAAAGTAGTTCGAAAAATTTGAAAAAATGGTGAAAAGGATTTGACGTAATACATTGATTCGCTCACTTAGAGAGCTTTTCTATCCAAGCATCCATGTAAAGTTAGTGCACAACTTGACGTAAACTAAAAGAATACTAACCAATATAAAGAACTCTGCAATACAATTTTACATTAAATTAAGCCCAGTAATCAATCCGGAATTTGGATTAAACCCCAAGAATCCTAAGTAAATGATTCAACTACAAGATACAGATCCCTCAAAGACGATTACGTGTCTACGATTCTTTTGTTATGACTATATTCAATTTCATTTCATTATAGAGTTAAGTGCCTTGGATGATAAACGAACGAAGCGTGACATGCGAACCATATTGCATTATTCAAGGAAACTAACAAAATAGCAATAAGAGCATATAACTATTTCGACTGCAATGAAATGGATGTAACAGTTTATTTTCCTAGTAGCCTTGTTATAAGACCAGACCAGTTGTCATTCTGAATTCCTCACTCTAGACATCTTAACATCGTCGAATAGCTTACATTTTGAATAGGGTATGTATATATATACCCCATTTAACGACTGAAAGTCTACGTAAAAATTTGCATTATTTAGTCACATGGATGTCATTGAAATAGATTTTTATTGAACTGGTCAGTTCTTTATAAAAACCTTATCAAAGTTATCATGATGTCGTTTATTTTTCACAGATGTCAATCGACGATTTTACCAGTATTGAGTTTAAAGTTTTTTGACCACTAATCTTCAAATGTTAGAAATATTCAGGTCATTTTTAGGGATACTGTGATGCAAAATCTACACGCTTAAGTGATCTGAGATGACGACCTTAATTAATGTTCGTCAAAACCTGACTTGTCTACATGATTTAGTCAAGACTATTGAGAATATAGAGATGTTTCTATGTCTATTGATCAAGGTATTCAGTGCTAGAATTACTTCTTGATAGCAGAATGTACAGAAATCGACTGAATAAAGAGTAGTTTACAATGACAGGAATAGGTGAAAGACTGTGAAGTATTTTCTGACATTTGCGTCTATCTTTGATAAATCACTTGTAATCTGACACGTCATGTTGACATAATTAAATGTTGCTTATACGAACAATAGCTCTAATCCCCTGGCAACTTATCAAATGAGATTATTGATCCGTCGAGGAAATTACCATTTCAGTAAGGTTAGTTGAAGTAGCATTTAGTCAAGCAATCTTTTTGTCATGAAAAATGTACGAGGTACACTTTTAACCACAGTGTGTAGAAGCTTGGATTATTTGATGAGTTGTGTAATATCATATATAGTATTAATTACATAAATAAATTGTTCACTGAGTAATTATACTCCAAGGTTCATAGCACCATACATGTTTAAAAATTGACATGAACAAGAAGTTTGTACGTTTCTAAGTTTTATCCAAGTAAATAAATAAATGTATTTCTTCTGAGTTCCTTGTCATCGTCATTTCGTTAATGAATGTTGAAGAGAGACAGTGCTTTGAAAACCTTAGCGACTGAGCAAAACTTTATGTTTAAGACCTTTCAAATTCTTTTTTTATATAATCTAATGTACACAACAAAACTTAATTGGTTTTGATCGGATCTGATTAAAAAGCTCTTTCATGTTTGTTGTTTTTAGAAAATTGGAATTATCTACGTAATAATTTGCAGTGGATTGAAAATATTCTTATTAGTATTTTTGTTTAAAATATTGGTACTTTTTCTTCGAAATACTCCGGTAAGTAAAACAGAAAACACATTTCAAAAAAATCACTGATTTAATCAGCAAATCTTTGTATCAATATTCTAATGTCATTAGGAAACTGTTTGAAATTTAGTTATTTTTTCTCGAATATTCATAGGTATCTTTCATCTTAGGCTCTGTATTGTAGATTGATGGTTCTTAGTTTAAGTGACTAATTTAAACAAACATTTGTGATAGTTCAAAGGATCACAATGTCTTCTTTTAAATTATGCTCACATAATCACTTAAAACATACTGTAAAAAAAACCTAGAAACAAACATTACATCATTTAACGAAATTGGAAAATTAAGACGAGAAACTTATTATTTATTCAATCAGTTGATAGACAGTTATTTTAATATGTAAATATAAAACTGAATAGAAAAAAGGACATTAATTGTTCACACTGTTAATAGTGAAAAAGAATTTTTCCAATAATAATAATAGTAAACTATTATAGCTGAGACGACAAATTACAAAGAAACCCCGTGTATTATGAATTGAGAAAAAAAGATTATTAGATTAATTATCACGTAGAACAATATAGTGCATGACATTTTACTTAATTTTTGATGCTAAACATACATATTATATTTAGTAGAGTTAGTCATTAAAATTTAGTTTTCTCGCTTAACGAATTGGTATTGATTACCCTTATTTTTACATGTAATGTGTATAGAAACTATGCTACGCTTTATGTATTTAACATATGTATGTATATAGATTTAAAGAGAACAGGCTTGCAATAATGTCTCGTCCCTTTGAATAAGACTGTAATTGTTTTTTTCTTTTAAGAAGAAAAGGGGAAAAACAAATGAAATATTTCATTTATATATGGAGGCTGTTTGACACTGGAAATACTATTAAGGTGTACAGTTGCTCAATTCATTCTAAAGAAAACTATTTTCTTTTGACTGATGCGTTATTTTTTATGCCAAACTCAAAATATCGCATACAACGAAATATTTACTACAAATTGAAAATTTCGGTCATACGAATAATAATAATAATAATAATAATAATAATAATAATAATCACAAAACTTAGAGCCTGTTAACATCCACAACAAGTTGATGAACCTATAAATCCTAACTAAAAAATACTATTGATGTGGCTCATTACAATAACATGACCAATTACTTATGTTATAATGTTATTTAATTTGCTCAACTGTAAGAGTCACAAATTTTATATCATGATTCGAATTTCTTTTACTTAATGGCTGAAACTGAAGTGATCTGAAGACAAGACATATGTAAAGATTATTTAAAATCAATTTACGTTTACATAAGTAGTTTGTTATTCTATATATATACAAAACGTTACTTACTATTATCTATGCATAGTCCATGAAATTTAATGATATGTGGATGTGGTTCTAGCTCACTTAAAACTTTCGCTTCTCGAATTAAATTAATTAATTGCCTATTTCGAAATCCATCTAAAGAATAACAAAAGAAAATGGTGAAATCAACAGAGAAAAAACACTGTGTTTGTAAGAAAAAATATTAGTCAAGGTAAAATAAATTGTACACAAAAACTTACTGTAATGAAAACAGTGTAATTCACCAATAATCAATAACAGACAAATACAAACACCACTCAATTACGATCTCGTCTTGTCGTAATATTCAAACATTGAAGTGGTTCATTAAATATCACGTGTTAAGTATTTACAAATAGTATCTGGAGTTTTATTTTTAGATGAAACAACAATTATGTTATGTTATTATAAGGGAAATCGTTTACACAGGCATTAGAAAATTATCACACAATGTATCATAGAATAAATATTATTATTATATTTCTAAGCTTAATTTACTTTATTGTTTTTGTAATACAAGACAAATCATCATTATCTCGTGAGAAAATGTATATAAAAAGTATCAATTGAACATTATTTGCAATAGTAAATCATGTTTAAACACCTTTCAACATTTTCCAACCTCAATCTAACACAGATACATATGAGATGTTTATCTGAAGATTAAAAAATAATGAATTCATAAATTAAATTGTTTAAACTTTTGGTAACACATTATTTAATAAAAATAATATTGGCTTGAAAAGTTATTTGTTATATGGTTATTTTGAAATTAGAAACTTATGAAACCTTTGCTCAAATTAAAAAGCTTAATTGTTTTTCTAAAACTCAATCAAAATTATATGAAGCTAATATAGTTAAGTGTGAGAAAAGTATATATTCAGATGATTCACTACAGGCTACTTCGTGTAGTTAAAAACTTTTGTTCTGTCACCAATGTATATATATATATATATATATATATATCCCATCTGATTAACACAGAGTGTACGTATGACATGGTATTTTTATGTTGCTAAATATTGGTTCACTGTGATATTACAGAAAATTTAATCAATATATAAATACATGAAATATCAACTAGACAATAGTTTATATGATTAAATAAAATAATACGATATATATATATATAGTTGTCAATGAATAGTTTTTTTAAGAAGAGCTAGCGTAATTAATACTTTAGAAGATAAACTAAAGAAATTGAAGAATGTAGCAAACATCTTGGAATTTAATAAATTTCTTATAAATATTCGTTTAGAATGTGATAAAATGGAACCATCACTCGAATAAAATATACGTTGGTACTGTAGTTATACGTCAACCCGACTGAACGATAGAAGAATAGCAACAAGTCTTCAAACTAAACAGAATTAAAGCATTCTATAAGACAACGAAAATCTCTTCGTTTGAATAAGGATAAAAGATCCTACACTGCTTCTACAGGGGATCATGTGTACAGACTAGGTTTTTGTAATTGTGATACTTTCTATTTCGTATAGTCGTCTCGTGATATAATGTTTCGTGCCACAGAACATCTAAGCTACACAAAATGATCCCCAAAATAGTACTGCAGAACACAGGAATCTACAAATTAACTCGGGCAAGTAGTACATGATGTTTTCAAAAACCATCGAATCGGTATTTAAAATATAGAAATTAAAAATGGTTTATTCAACTATAAGCAAAAGGCAAGTAGGTAAAGCATTCTATATGTTGCTAAAACCTCTTGGGCTCAACAGAAAGAAATCCCCAACTATCCATTCAATTAGGACCGTTTTCCTAAACAACCACTTTTAGTGTGTTCAAAATTCACCTCTAGTAAACATCATACTAATTAGCTTTGTTCCCCCATATTACAAATGTCACATTTTTTACATTTAGATATACACTAATACACTAAATATGTCTTATCTTTAACCTGAATAACATGACATTATCGTGATCACATTTGTTTTAACTGTACTAAATATTTTGATTTTTTGTTGTACTACTTCAACTTGTATTAATTTAGTCCAGTTATTTTATACTCACTGGAATGTTACGAACATATTGTTATTTTATTATCATGAGCAATGCATTCAATTTATCTGAAATTTGTAAATCGAACCTTAGTAGTTATACTTACAAACAATTTCTAAACTCCACAAATTCTTCTATTTCATACATTTTGTCTTGGAAGTTCGTTGTTTTTTTTTGCTTTTAGTATTTCATAACTAAAGGACAATCAATCTGCTCTGATGTAATTAATTTTTACGAGTGAACGTTCTATGTAATGTAGCAGATATAATGATCGGAACAAAATCTATACAACATCATACAAAACGTTTTATATAGACAAAACATTGTGGATGTGTTTGTAACAAGAACAGGAAGCAAACAAATAATCACCATTTCAATGTTCAATGAGACTGGCTAATATTCTACTCGTATATAACTCTCAAAATAAAATAATAAGCAATATACATTATTCAGCTTCCATAATGAACATTTTCACAGGACTAAAATAATACAGGGAATAATTCTCGGGGATTTGTAATAAACTAACTTCTGAGTCTTTGATTCTTCAACTGTATGTTATTTTATGAGACGATTTTCATGTAAACTGATCACTAAATTATTTCCGAAAGGGTTTTTATCTGTTTGGAGGTATCCACAACCAATAGTATTGTTGTGGTTAAGATATGAAAGTTTTTGACAGTATTGTATTCTAGTATGAGCCAGAAGGCTTGTTAGTAAAATTTTCGTTGTCGTTTTTAACCAATGTCGCCGTAGTTCACTTCATATTATACCATCAAACAGTAAATCCGTTTTCATTATTATGAATAAATACAACTGACAGATAAGATACTGTAATGACTAATGTGAACACACCAGTAGTTTCCTTTCACAGAACCGTGGCTAAACAACAGTGGAACAGATTTCAATCAGCTGATTGTACATTCACTAAGACTTCAAAGCTATGATCATGTTTAAACAAGATAACACAACTTATCGAATAATGAATAACTAGTTAAAAATAAAATTAACGATCACCAAACATTTATTGGTTCTTCACTCTTGCCCATAGCATTAATGAAATAATTTTCTCCACTCTTTATAGTTGACATTCTCAAGACGTTTTGTAACTTTCGTTCTGGCAAAGCTTACTTTCGGTTTAATTTGGACTTTATGTATTAAGCCATTTAGATACTCTAATTTATTTATTCTGGGTATTTACATTTCTTATAGACAAAGTTTCCATCTTTCATAAGTAATCAAACCAAGAATAAGCAACAGTCTGTGAGGTCATTGATTGCTGAAGTGATCCTTGTCAGGATTTGAAGACAATATAATTAAGATCATACAGACTTTTATTATACGGTTCAAGACTTTAGCTGGCATAGTTAAAAATCGGTTACCTTAGGATAATTTTATTGATTTTATATTTTCTTCTAAACCATGAATTTTTATGACATCATTCTTATGCTTAGTTTACACTCCATTGTAAGTCATCTTAATTTTTTTCGCAGTTATGATACGATGTGCGGCATCCTGAACTGATGCGCATCTGCACTAAGTACCAATATTGTTTATGATTAAACTAATGAAGGACTGAAATCTAAGTGTAAAAAATAATGCTTCGAAATTCCTTACTAGCCTAAAGTTCTTAAAATTAAAATAAAGGGTCAAACATGCTTGTGAAAAATGTACATATTAGATAAATACAACAGCAAGAAAATAGAAATACATAATTATCCACTTCAGAAATGGATTTTTCACTAAACAGACTTTTTTGTCGATATTCTTAATTTCATGAATAGTATGTGAAGTACTGTATTGAACCTTTTGATTTTCATGGTAGGATTCCATTTATTTATGTAATGAACTTCGAAGTTTACAAAAACTTGTTTTCATCCAAGGGAAAGCTGATTGTATACATTGAATGTCTATACAATATAGGACTAAACGAATTTGATGAGTCGAATTAAATCTGGTACATCATTTACTGATTTCGTGAAAAGATAGCAATGGAACTGTTGGAATACTGGGGGAACTAGATAACATTTTCATTCTATTCTGAGACTTTAAAGCAGCTTTCGTCGCAAATCTCAAGTGAGATCAGATTCAGAATTTTGGGAGTTCGATGACAAGTTGAGATATTAAGTAACCTTTGTTCAATATTATAAGTGAATATTCATTTAATCACTTCTTGATAGAAAACTTCTTTGTCAAGTGAAGATTCCTGTATCTAGCTATGATCAACACTTTATATGTGGGAAATAGTGATACATTACCTACTTGGCTCGCCAAACCGAAGTAATGATGGGTTCGACCTTTCGGCCTACTGGTCAAAGGCTTTATTCTCTGATCCATCGATCTCATCATCATTTCTACCTTGTTTAATTACACAAGCCGAATAGATTTTCTTTCAAACAGTATAACCCAATACACTAACAACCGTCGCCTCTGGTACATGTGATTGATTTGGAATAAATATGAAATCAGAATACGCAGCAGTTGTTATTCACTTAAGAGATTTTCATTTAGAAGTGGAAGAAAACCAAACTATATATATATATATATATATATATATATATATATATATATATATATATATCGATCCAATTTCGTAGCTAATGTACAAATATAGGTTCAACATTTCAGGGATTGTAGTGTCTGTTATTATGTTAAGCCCACATATCTTATTCTAGCTTTCGGACAGCCTAATCTATTCATTCTACTTGAGTCACATTCTGACCTTGTTAATTATTCGCTTATCAATCTTCACTGTCTTTATATGAGCGCGTAGGTGTATGCACACTTTTTATCCCATTACTCACACATCCCTGTAACTTATTTTTGTGCCTATAAATATTGATTGACTCTTGGTTAAATGGGTGTTGGCTTACCAGCCATCTCCACCGCGCGTCAATTTTGCTTCGCTTTCTTCTCTTTGCATCGTTCCCCCGTTCGTTTGTCTGATCAACGATTATACAAAATATATGCATCCAAAAGTCCATTCTCGTTATTTGACTTACTTAATTCCGCTATTGACTAACGCGATTTAAGTCGATGGTTATATACGAGGATAGGCGCTAACAAACATGTATATGATCTATTTGGAGTCAGATCTCGGG